AGTTATATGTATAATCTTCAGGGTATTGTTCTTACACAAAAATCACGCAACTTATTTTTCGACGCACATTAACTAAGCGGAAAACAAATGACTGGTTTCAATCTTATATAAAAATTGAATTTGACTGTCACAACTCTCGCTAACACAACCCGAAGTGTTGACCGACTATGTTTTATCGAGAACAACGAATCCCACTATACAAACTGAGTAGAAATAAAAACTATAAATGTATAACTTCTTACATGAACAAAGTTTTGACAGAATACAAATCAGTGATTTTTTTGCTTGTATTAGTAAATTTATCTTTAAGGTTGTTAATAGTTCAATATGGTCATTGGTTGTAGATAGTGATTTCAATCTTAAGTGTCATAATGCTTTGCAAGTTTTACGCAGATGAACAATTCACTTGGACTCTTTAATAACTTAATAACAGTTAGCTTTAATGTGAAAGAAATATTTTCGAATTGACCGTCTTTGTTCACTATTCGTGCTATGAAATGGTTGAAGCTTGTTTACTTTGCGTTTATAATAAGTATTGATTTATGAAAACGTTAAGTTAAAAAAAAATATTATAAGAGGTGTGAAACTAATAAATTATATTTCAGTATTTTTATTTTTGTATTCAAGTTTGAAATTAACAAAGATCAATGTTTAGTGAAGGATATAATCCTTTCACCACTGTTATGACATGAAACTTACGTTGAACAATATTAGTTCAGGTGATGCATGGGATTATTTGGGGTGCATGGTTAAACTGTTTTACAAGCCAGTAAAGGTATTGTGTGTCATGACCTACAAGAATAAGCGAGATATTCAACATAATGGCGTTGTTTTGAAAATTTATAAATTTTTGAGTCATATGCTTCGTAACAATAGAGGTTTGTTGTTACCACATATTTGATGCATCGAGCTATAAGTTTGAGTAACATATCGGTTGTCAATGCATACTTTCTTTTCATACTCAAGATAGAGCTACGATTGTGAAGGTTTCATATCGGGTGTCAATGCATACTTTCTTTTCATACTCAAGATAGAGCTACGATTGTGAAGGTTTCTCGACTTCTATTTTTACCAAGGCTTTTCTCATTTTTCGATATGTTTTAATATCATTTGCAAAAAATTTGCGATGTGTTTCTCTAAGTAGAATAGCGTAATATAAGGCAAAAAAATTGATCGGGCAATAAAAGAGTTTTAAAGTTTTTTGGCCCCAAAAAGTAAGTACTCATTGTTCGTGTCTCTTGTAATATTGAGGTTTTTTATTATGGACATGTGTTGGTCAAATAAATATTCGATCGAAAAAGAAACATTATTTTTTTAGTTTATTCATATAAAAGTTAATATATTCATAGCTTAGTACTTGTTAGTGAGTTGACCTGGGAGACAAGTACTATATTAGCAACCGAGTTATTATTTTTCCCATCTACAGCAGACACAACTCCTGAGGATGACAAACTCACGACTGACCCAAACACGAAGTCGGGTTCACACCGATCTACGAGATTTAGAATATATGTATTTTCAATTGAGTTTGCGTTATCTGTGCTCATATTTTTTAATACTTCATCTTTAATTAAAAAAAAATTCGTCTCTTATTCTTTTTTGCATCTGTAATCACTCATGTGTGTCGCATATTACACTACGTTTCCCACTGTGGTCGGTGCGAACACCCTCATAATAGTATCCACCTTCTTATTTGTGTCAACGCGACATTGAAACCAATGAAGGTCAGCGCGTATGCACGTAAGTGGGCAATCTGGCCCATGAGGCAGAAAAAACTGGGTGGCAGGGACTTTTTGCGGGCGAACCGCCCGTTGGCTGCTGGTTGCAAGTTGGACTTGAGGATGGCCATGTCAAAAGGACCCGTGCCCGGGCAAAGTAGTTTGAGGCAAAGTAGCGCAGGCCGCAGGTTGCATACTACGAGTTTCACGAAATCGCTCCCCACGTCGGTCTTCAAAGTTCCTAATTAAATATTTGCAGCTGCAACCAAAATTTGCAATGGTACCTGCTCCATCTGGGCTCACGCTGCATGCTGCGCCGCAGTCCCGGCGCCCTCTTACTCATAGAGGCATCAGAATAGCCACGACAGTCGAGCATTTCAATGTCGTCCATATTCTGGGGTTGATTGATTCTCCAGGTGAGTTGTTACACACTCCTTAGCGGATTTAGACTTACATGACCACCATCGTGTTGTCTGTATTTATCGACACCCTCTGTGGTGTCTGGGTTAGTGCACAGTTTGGCACTAGCCGGGGCTGGAGGCGCCGAGGAGAAGGCTCGCAACGATACTGTAGTGCGAATTTTGGATCACAGTGTGACTATGCTTGCGCAGGGAAGGTCAGCGTCGTTGTGGTGGGACACGCAAGGAAACCGCCGTGCAAATTGTTCGCCGGACGAGGTATAGGGCGAAAGGCTACTCGAGCCAGCTCGTATCTGGTTTTCTCCGAAGTTTCCCTTGATACAGTCGGAGCTGCTTACCTGACCGCTGTGGGATTGACCGCAACCAAGGAGCTGCGCTAGCGACGAATGAGTTGAGGACCGAGGGACGGCCACTGAGACGAGGTAGGAGGGGAAAGGGAACGGAAAGGTGAAGGCAGCGAATGCAGGGAAGGACGGAATAAACTTGGGGTAAATCCGCGCCAGATGCAGCCAACGAAAAAAATGGCGAAAGGTAAGTTGTGCGGGGTAGAGAATTCGTAACTTGCCCGTTCCATAATGGAATCAGGCAAACCAAACGTGAATCTTGGGGTTTTGGGGCAAGGCGAGCACGATGGTGAGCTTAGTTTGAATGCTGGATTAGTAGATTTAGTGTTAGTAGAGGAAAGAGCTGTTTCGCGAAGGGATGGTGATGACAGACGTGGTCGCAGTGAAAATCCATTGTCTTATCCTATTTCTAAGGAGATCAGGGGGGGGAAGATCTTAAATGGGGTTATGATGACAGTCGAATCCGATGGTAAAATCGGATTTCGGATTCGGTGGGTGTTTTAAACGGTACAGTGCATGAGAGTTGCGCGCGATAAGGGAAGTTTCGCAAGGAGACATATATTTTCATGTTTTGACGAAAGATGCATTCCCACCTTCACACGGTGGCCCGCGTGTTGATTTGTAAAGATTGACTTCATAATGGTGTGCATCTTCTACAACAGAAAAATTCCCACTGAAAATCTTTACTTAGAATGACAATCCAATTAAAATATTTCATGAACTCGTTCAGACTTTCATTCCATCTCTAGCATGAAGTTCAAATAAGAAGAGATACCCATTTTTGGAAAAAAAAATTTCAAGTAAGAAGGAAAATTTTAAAATTGGAATGATATGTTTTAAGATGTAATGAAAATTTAAAATTTAAAATGTAATTTTAATATAGAATGGTTATTTAATTCTGGGAAAATTTTATGTTGTAGCTCGTAGCGCTCTCCATCAAGGTGTTATTTAAGTGTTGCAATGCGCTCGTCCTTTAACTCATTGAATGTCATGTAGAGGCCGTACCTACCGGGATTCTACCTATTATCTCTTTCGTGGGCAGATGTTCCTACCCGTACCTTAGCGGGGAACATATCAGGTTTGGTTTTGACGACGCATTTATTTCCCGTTCCTTCGAGCACACCAAGTGGAACTTCACGAAAGTGAAAAAAACAATAGTCCAAGGGGAGCGTACGTAGAATAAGGTTAGTCGGATGAAAGAAAAAAAGCAGTGGAAAGAGTAAGTAGGGGATTGTGTTATCATGAAAAATAAATAAAAAGTAAAATAAAATAAAAATATTATAGTGTATCTTTTCACATCCAAGTGAAAGATTCATTCTCGTTTCGTTGTTGTCCGTCGTACCTAGACATGAGGTTAGGCTCGTGGCAGAGGTCATTGTCCCATGCACTATCGAGTTACTCACTCTTGCGAGCATCGGCGAAGTGGTTGCCACCGTCAGGTCACGGTGCTTGTCATACTACTCCCTGCACAAGAAGATCGTTGTCGGCCTCACCCACGTTTATTATGCGAGGATACACATTTACACACAAGAGACAGGGAATGCACGCCGGGGTGACAGGCAAAATTGGTGACGGTGGGATGAACCAAAGGTCGAGCTACACTGCTGAATTACAAGCTGAATCAGTGGCCCACTTTTGGTAAGTAGAATAAGCAAAGCAAGATGAAGTGATAACCGGATGGCCGAACTGTGACTTGGCAGAACACAGTGGGCGCTGTCGGGCGCATCGGTCCGGCACCGCACATGGCGGCGCGGGACCCTCGCGGCCGCGTCACGCAGGAGTTGGACCAACTTCGTCACAAACACACAAATGGAGCTTCCTTAGGCCGCTCCGGCCGAGTGCGGCAGCCATACCTCTCGCGAGCCCCTACGACAGGATAGGGCTTACGCGAGGTATGTCCTCCATGGATAAGAGCTATGACACTTCGCTCACCGCACAACGCTCCGAACACCCCCTGGCGAAAGGAAACGGGCGGCGGTGTCCATCGCATTCGCACGTGTCCAAGTGCAATACAAGCCCGTGTCCACTTCCGCGCACGTGGCAATTCTGTGGGCTGCGAGGGGCCGTACTGCACCCCCAACAAATTTCGAATTTGAAAACCTGCTGCGCGCGCGCTCCCACACTGCACCTCGCCCCAAGCGGTTCCTAGAGTCCCAAACAGCACACCGCAGGCGGACATATTGAAGGCCGGGTGCCGGCTGCCGGCCTACTGGATCGGAAACCTGCTAGTAGGTCTCCGCACAATAAGGAGGCAGGGTGTTTTTCTTTCAAGTGCGACATTTTCAAGTGTGGTCTCTAGTGTGCATGGAACGAGGAGGCGGCCTAGTGTAAATTAATCACGGGCGCACTTGAAAATCAAGAGTTATCAAGTGGTGTGGAACGAGGCTCTTAGGCCGTCGACGACATTCCTCGTATGGAAACCTCGCGCTAAACGACAAAAGACATCCATGTTATACGCAGCCGTATGGGAGTGGTGTGGCGACGCCCTAAACCAACGCTATGGTAGCGGGGCACGGCTACGGGGCTGGAGTCACTCGCGAAAACACTCCCCCCTCAACGGCTGGTTGTCCTTTCGGAAAAAGCGATGGGCGCGAAGGTTCCCGTGATCGGTTTGGCCACACCTGCCAGCTGTCTACCGCCTGCTGCCCTCTGGCTCCAGCACAGAAACTCCAGGTGTCCATGACGAGGCGCGCCCGGTTGGACCTGTCGGATGTGTTTGGTGGCGGCTGTGACGCCACGTGGCAGGCATTGACCAAGCCGCTTGGTCATCACAACGTGCAAGTAGTCGAGGTAGGTGATCGCCACCTCCCCGCCTTCTTCTCGCCCTCCTGCTGCAGCAGAGTCTCCAGCGTATGTCGAACTGTGGAAGTCCAGCAGGGACACAAGCGATGTAAGGAAGTCGTAGCTGGAGAGTGAGATGTAGGGGGAGGAGGCGCGGATCTTTGGCGATGTGAGCCGACGCGAGGCATGCGCGCGCGCGCGTGTGTGTGTGTGTGTATGAGAGAGAGAGAGAGAGAGAGAGAGAGAGAGAGAGAGAGAGAGAGAGAGAGAGAGAGAGAGAGAGAGAGAGAGAGA